TTTAAATCATCAGCTGGGACTGTCAAATACATAAAACATTAAAATTCCGTAAACTTAACATTTATCCATTACGTCTTCTCCCATTAAAGTTCGCCTGTCTCTGATTAACCCGCCAGTTCCCACCCACAATTTCAAAAAACACATTAAACCGCGGAGAATCGAGAATATATCCCCTCTGAAATGAAAACGAGAGAGATAAAGGAAGATGATAACCCTCTGAATTACAACTGGAGTCTCATTTGTTTTCAGAGTGGTCTACCAGACCCGGTGAATTCATCATACGACCTTTCTCAAGTCCAACGTCAGTTGAATTAACCGAATGAGTTCATCTCGAAGCGTTGAGTTTAAGTAGGGAGATTGAAGAGGATCTCTGGTGATGACGAGAGCTAATTGATATTAAAAATTCAAATTGCATCCGCCACTTGCTAAACTCCGCGCTGGTACACGTTTCATCGTGTCTTCGTAGGACTGGCAATTTATACGTATTCCTATTTCACATTTATGACGTGGAATAATGTAAAAACGATGTGAGGGGGGGGGGATGTAGAGACTCGATATCGTGTTTCGTGTTGGCATGCACTAAAGCAAACGAATTTATCCGCGATAACGTGATAATATCTCCGGGGGATTATCAAAATGGCTGTGGCGCGTGCTTCTCATTCGCGTTGTAAAATTTTCCGAGGGGATTTAGTCTACACCAACGGTAATATAATTAGGGCTGAGGTACGTAAACAATTTATGAGTTTGAGGTGTTGTTTTTTGGGGGATGATTTTTTCCGTATCGTGGGACAACCGATTTTCGAAAAAATTCGAAAATTTAAAAAACTGATCGATGAATTTAATTTTAATTAACGGCGATTGATGGGGCTCAACAATACCTACATTTGAAAAAAAATATTCAATTCCATCCATTCATTGGCGCTTCTTCCCCGATATGAGGTGACAAAGTACTGGAAATCGAGTTCGCTCCCCGATTAATTGACTTGTTCGGTAATTTTTCTCCAACATTTTTCTCCGTGCAGATAGCATTTTATTATTTCTCGGGGTTTACGACGGGAATAAAGAGTCGAGGACACAAAATAACTTGCGGTCATTTGCTTTCCCGAGTTTTTAAGATTGCGACGATATATCATGAGCGGGGGTGGGGTAGGGGTATTCCCCATGGCTGCAGTTTCTTGCGGCCCGCAATTAACGCCCCACAGGCGAGACCACGAAATGGGACTTTATAATTATGACACCAGAGAGGCCACTGGTTTAAACTCCACCCCGTATTTTTCCACGGAGTAACCCTGGAACAATATAAATAATAACGATAACACAGGGGGGATCGTAAATTGCTGTTGCATTTTAAATGAAGAGAGAGTGAGAGGAGAAATGAGGGCATTTGCTGCGGCTAAACGTTTTACATTGGCTACTGATAAAAGAAATTTCAGGGGTGGGGAGTATTACGTGTTTCGATATTTATGGGGGGGATTCGTTGAGTGTGAATTGTTTATGGATGTGGGGGTGAGTTGTCTGGAAATTCTTGGAGATCCGTGCGATTTTTTTCGTTTTTATATGGAACGATTGGATGAGGAGGAAGGGATCCCCGATAGCACAATAAAATTTCAGTTGTTTTCTGAAATGAACTGTTGACCGTGTCCGAAGATGAAGGCGATAGCAATAATCGTTATTTTGATTTATTTGGAAATTTGCAAAAATTTTGTATTTTTTTAAAATCAGAATTCCGGGGATATCTTTGAATATCACGTTTCAAATGAATTCAATCATAGTTTAAATGTTTGTGTTAATGCCATTAAGTCGAAGTTAAAAGATGATTACGATAGCTGAAGGCGATATTGGTTGATTTGATTTTTATGATGATTGTGGAAAATTTCGAATTTTTCATGAATTTCCCTGAAAGTGAGCTTTCTGATGGTTTCTTCAAATGTGATGTTTCAAATTCATTCACGTATGTGTAAATAAAATTTTTCTGTTAACATTTTGGCGAAGGGCTGAGGGGAGAGATAGAACCGTAAAAAAGACAATCGGTTGTGTAGAAGAAAGGGATAATAAGAATAATGATGATGATAACATTCAAATAAGTTGAAAATCCGACAAAATTAGTTGAAAAGAAATCTCATTCAATTTAATAAAATGAAATGAACAATGAATTATACATTATAGAAGGAAATTATATGCAATTTGCCACGATTTTCCGGGTGATTTTTCCGCAAAACCTTGAATTTTCAATGACAAAATTCCCCCAAATCTCGGTGAAACAATAATGTAGTAATAATAGTCAAAAAGTCTTCAACAAATTTTTAAAAAAATGCAATTTGTTTCCTTTTCTTCTCCCCTATATCAAATGACTAGAATCAAAAAATCGTGTTCACACATGTACAATAAAAAGGGCTCCGCAAATGGTATTTACCCTTCCACATACTCCTCGAATGAATGACGGGTAATTTTTTTCACCACCGAAGCTCAATAGCCCCATAAGCCTCTCAAGTTTCTCAACAGCAAGAAGTTGAAATCTGTTCTTCTCGCTCCATTGACTCTCATTTTTTTATTACCACTTTTCCTTCATATATACACTTGGGTGAAATACCCAGTAGGCGGCATTACTCCCCGTCCGATACTCTCGACTTACCCCCAAGAACACCTACATCATGCTCCTATTTCACGCGTTAGTTCTTTTATTATTTTTTTTCCCATTCTCTGTAGTTCAATTTTCTGTATTTTATGGGGGCAATAAATACTTTTACATTTTCTCCTATCCGTTCTCGTTTTTTTATTTTCATTCTTTATTATTATTACTACTAGGGGGGATTCATTTATTTATGGGGATTATTCTCTTTTTGGCATTAAAAATACGAAAATTTCCCAGTTTACTTGAATTTTCAATCAAAACATGAATATTAATTACCAAATGACGCAGATGTTTTTTATTTTTTTGGAAATTTTCCTGCATTTTCCTCATTTTTATTAATTTTTTCAAAATAATTGAATTCGAATTAACAGTTTCCATTCATATTCCACAAAATTTTAAATTTTTAATGATGAAATTCCTTGAAATTCTCGTAAATATGACAAATTTTTTAACAAAATTTATTAACAGTCTGTATCACAAAATATAAATGATAATACAATACAATTTTTCAAGTTCTGTAAAAAATTCAACTAAAAAAATGTATTTTCTGCCATGTGAAAGAAAACTTTTAAAACAACAGCAAAAAGTACATTCTCACCCTCGAGTCCTGAATTTACCCCGCGAAAATAAAACCTAATAACTCTCCCCGTCACTCCCAGGCGTCACTTTGTCCCCGAAAGACCAGAAGAAGGGCCTCCGAAAGTCTGGATTGAAGCAAAAGTGGCAATAAAATGACTACTTGCAAGTGCGCGTGAAGGTGGGAGTTGCTACCGTGAAAGGAGGTGCGAAGGAGAGAACCTGGCGTCCGGAGGAATATTACGTGGGTGTGCAGAAGGAACTAGAGAAAAACAAGGGGGAAATTGCTTTTGTGTTCGTAGAGCACAGCTATTTTTGCTAATCAATGGCACTGTTAAAAATTCTCCACTGAAATTTCCGGTAAGAGGGAGGAATGTCTAAGAAATGACATTTCCACTGAATTTTCAAGGAATTTCGTCATTGACAGTTGATAATTTCATGGAAAAATCCGAGGGAACTGTGACTTTCGGGTTAATTATTCCGGGAAAATTAATGGAAAATCAGGGAAATCTTTCCTGGAATTCCAGATGCCTCAAGATTTCCCTGAAAATTCAAGGGAATTTCGCGGTGAATATTCATTTTTGCTTCCGAAAAGTCCGAAAATGCAATTTTTAAACCTCGTAATGAATGGATGGAATTAAATTTTTTTTTCAAATGTCGATATTATTGAGCCCTATCAATCGCCATTAATGAAAATTTAATTCATCGATTATTTTTTTAATTTTCGAATTTTTTCGAAAATCGGTTGCCCCACGATAACTAAAAAATGTTCTGAATTGATTGAATGAAGGCTTAAAAAATTTGTTTGGATGTCCTTTTGACCGAGCTCGAAGACGAAGGCGATAGCAATAATCGTCATTTTGATTCATTTGAAAATTTGCAAAAATTTTGTATTTTTTGAAAATCAGAATTCCGGGGATATCGTTGAATATCATGCTTCAAATGAATTCAATCATAGCTTAAAACGTTTGTTTCAATGCCATTAAGTCGAAGTTAAAAGATGATTACGATAGCTGATGGCGATATTGGTTGATTTGATTTTTATGATGATTGTTGAAAATTTCGAATTTTTCATGAATTTCCCTGAAAGTGAGCTTTCTAATGGTTTCTTCAAATGCGATGTTTCAAATTCATTCAAGTGTAAATAAAAATTTTCTATTAACATTTTATCGAAGGGCTGAGAGGAGAGATAGAACCGTAAAAAAGACAATCGGTTGTATAGAAGAAAGGCATAATAAGAATAATGATGACGATAACATTCAGCAAAGTTGAAAATTTGTCAAAATAGTTGAAAAGGCATCTTACGCAATTTAATAAAATGAAACAACCAATGAATTACGTATGATAGAAGGACAAAATGCAAAATGCAGGATTATGTGCAAAATACTCATTCGGAATTGAAAAAAAATTAAATTCCATCGATTCATTAGCGAACAATTGAAGAAAAATTTGGTCACATTGGATTTTCGATCCTTTTGGTTCACAGGACCTTGACACGCCACGAAAAATCCAAGCCTTAAATTTGAACGATTACAAAGCTTTCATTCGTCAACAAAACAAAAAACTGTGTAACAAGAAAAGCTCGAGCGATACAGACGGATTTAAAAGTGGAATAAAAAGCATTGGCGATGGAAAAAGAACACTGAACAGAACAGAAACACTATATGTGACGAAATGTGCGCAGAAGGTCGAGGGGCGCTCGAAGTGAGACGGAAGCAGGGAGAAGCACCGTTGGATGAAGCTCCCCGACGATTTTCATGTTAGTTAGCAGTCGATGCGCACACGCCACGCGTTACGGACGCTCTCTCATTCAAAATACAAGTCTGGTGTTGTATCGGGGCACTGAGACCGCCACCAAAACGTGGACATTTCGTCTGTCAAATTTGTTTTATTATTTTTCATTCCTGGAAAGTCGGGGGCTTTATACCAGGCAGGTCTCGTATACCAGTTCTGACGACAAAACGGGAATTAAATTCTCGGAGAAAGGGAGATTTGGGGGGAATAAGAGGAGAGCTTTTGAATACTGTATTGTCGGGAGGACATTGAAACGCGAGACGCACTTGACGTACGTCGCCGGTACTTCCGCCCGGGAAATTTGTGGGTTTTTTAGCTTTTTCATTTGGTTTTTTTTTGGGTGAAGGGTCATGTGTTGGAGTGAAGTAAGAGTTTGAAGTGGTCGTTTGATAAGGCGACGAAGGGGAGCGACTGAAGGTAATTGGGGGGTGTGATTTTGTTATTCTTCAAGCTTGGGAATTTTTTGAAATTTAAGGATGTCCAAGCATTTTTGAACATTTTTGAAAATTTTGAAATTAATCAATTCCTCTCATTAATAATAGGCAATGGAATTTTCAACCGTTTCTCCCACATAAAAACGTAATAAAAATCGGTTAAAGTCTCGTTTGTTATTAAGATAAAGGAATACAACAGTAATTAATTGATATTTTCTCAAAGAATTATTCAAATAATTGGGGGTTGTCAAATCCTTCAATTAGCTGCAAACAATTGAATCTCCAAACATTACATTTTGCACAGAATTATTATTTTTTTAACATTCGTTATTAATTAATAAATAATTGGAATTGTTTAAACTTTCGGAAACGTATTTTTTTAGGCATGAAATTTATTTCTGAACAAATAATTTTGACGGTGGAAAATTGATTGGTTATAAATTATTTATAGAAAATGCTCGTAATTTGTGAAAATTGTAATTTTTTAATTATTTCATCAATCTTTCGCCAAAAATTAAATTTTTAATGGTTTTCAGATTTTTAAAATGTTTTTCAACGGTTTAATATTGAGATTCAAATTCAGACACGCAAAGTTTGAATAATAAAATCATTGTAAAATGTCCGGAAACTTGGGGGCCAGTGGAGCTGAAATGAAAGCTCTGATGTTCGACTGCGAAAGTAAAAAAGGATTTCACTGGAGGAAAAATAGCCAAAGTACTTGGATACCCTCGAGTAGTGGGGAATTTTTCATTCTTATGACTTATGATATTTTAATTTTCACTGAGAATTCCAGGGAGCTTCTAAATTTTCAAGGAAGGAAGACGTGAGCTCCCGGAATTAATTGCATTTTCAATCAAAACTTGAATATTCACTGCCAAATTATGGAGAATTTTTGAATTAATGGAAAATTCAAGAATTGTTATCTGCATTTTCATAATTTCTTTCAATTTTAAGAGAATATTTGCATTGAAATTTGCCATTTCCATTGATTTTTCCATGAAATTGTGAATTTTCAATGACGAAATTTCTTGACATTTCACCGCAATTAGAATATGATAACAATTTCCAATAATTGTACATGAAATTTCAGTAAACAATTCTTCAACAAAGTAAAATCGCTGATGTAATATGATGAATTTCTTATTCATCTTCAATTTTCAAAACCATTAATTGACAGGTGGAGAATTAGGGGATTAGTATTATTAGTACTTATTATTCACTCCTGGAATTGAAATTTCATGGAGATTTTACTAGGAATTTTTAGGGGAGTGGCATTGAGTTCGCCTCAGGCGAGAATAAATCATGTAATTTCAAATGTCACTGGAAATTCAGTGGAATTAAAAATTTTTTAACAGTAGGAAAACGAGAAATCCTCAGGTCACTTGAATTTTCAATTACTTGAAATTCGAAGAATAATTTTCCCTGAATTTTCCTGAGTTCTATTAATTCTCAGGGAATTAATGAACTGAAATTTGCGGTTTCCACTGATTTTTCCAGGTAATTGTGAATTTTCAATGACGAAATTCCTTGAAATTTCAGAGAAACTCAAATGTTATAAAAATACCTACAAAGTGTACCAGAAATTTCAATCAGAAATGTTTAACATTTTGGATTTGAATTCAATTTCAACGAAAATCTCTCATGTAAACTGATGAATTTCTTATTCATCTTGGAAATTCATCAAAAGTTTCAAATTCATTTCTCATTTCAGGCGATTATTGATATTTCAACATCTCGAATTCTGGAACTCATTATGAGAATCGAATACCACATTGAATTGAATTTTCAACAGATTAAATATTCAGAACCATCTTCTCCGCATGAATCTTCTCAGTTTTCAGCAATTTTTATTGAAAAAATAGCAATTTCATCAAATATTTCATAAACAAATTGATCTATCAGTACCAACATTACCAAAAATTTCACGGGAATTGATAATTTCAACATTTTTCACTTGAAATTTTAACATAAATTCTGTGACAATGTCGACATGAAATTTCATTCAACTAGAAAGTGATCAGATCGTGTGGAATGAAGGGATTGCATGGGAGAAAGCGCATTATGAATGGAGTCATGAATTTTTTACTTGTGTGGGCGATTGTATTGTCTGGGGAGATACGAGAATAGAGCGCTGACGTTTCTTATTGCAATAATGACGAATATCTTGACTTTACTCGAGAGTTGGAATCACTACGTAACGAGAGTGTGACTCACTGTTCCTGGGCGTGCACAGTTTTACTTGAATTGTTCTTCTCTCAGGACATATTTTTCCTCTGACAAGCGTTCTATAAAAATCATTTTTTCAAAATCGTAAAATAATTTTTAACCCCAGAATTTCACAAAAAATCAATTTTACGAAAAAACAACTTCGAAGATTTTAACAATTTTCATTATTTATTCATCAAAATTGAATATTAAACAAATCAATGAATTGACTAATTTTTGTAACGATTGAAATTTTCCAAATCCAAAATTATCCTCAAAATATTGAAATAAATAATTGAATAGAACTCTCCGTTTGTTCATTTGGTTTAATCACTCAACATTATAAAATTAAATAATATGAATAATATGTCAACAAAAAATACTTCGGAGGTTTTAACAATTTTCATTACTTATTCATAAATATCTAATATAATAAATAATAATAATAATAAATTGATGAATTAGATTAATGACATGTCCCAAATCCAAAATTCTCCCCAAAATATTAAATTTAAAATAAATAAAAATAATATAATATTCATTGAATAAAATTCTCCGTTTTGTCCATCTTAATTAATCACAAAATACTATAAAATCCATTCAACCACATTGATAGTGCGCCGTAGGCGTTCCCCGGATTCGGATCATTACTGACACGCCAAGGCCGCATTAAGTCATCGCCGATTGCGATGTTTACATTCCCTGCATCAATGGAGAATCCACTTTTCGCTCAGGCGCCCGAATAAATCCACCAATGGTACCGTAAAATTTGATGTAACGAGCCGTGAAAAGATATCCTTCCGCGACTCGTGCGGTATAAAAATCGCGATAAAACCCCTTGCAGACCACAATGTCCCCATCTTATGATAGTGTTTTTTACTTTTTACGAGGAAAAACCTCGTCGCTAACACGAAATCCGATTTTCTAAATCCCCATCTCGGTCCTCTGTAAGCTCCTGTGGAGCCCGCACGATACCGACGTCTAGAATCTGCGATTTTTCAAATAGTGGGTACACACGTCTATCTCAATGCCAATTTACGATGCTGTGTCGGTACATATGTAGGAAAATATCATATTTTTATGGGGGAATTCATGTTTATGGAGGTGGGGTATTCTATTCTGAAGCGTTTTTATCGTTTCTTGAATGGAGAAGATTTATTTTTTGCAAAATGGATTCGTGTGGGTTTTTAAAGATTTTAGTTAACGTTTTACGTAATTTTATTTAATGAAAATTCTTAAAAGTGCGATGAGAGTCACTTAACATGGAATTTCAAGTGATTTACTTTAAACAAATATGAGAAAATTGGAATTGTGAACTTTATTCATTGAAAATGAAATTTTAAGCGACATGAAGTTTTAAGCGAGTTAATTAAGAGAAAAAAATTGTTTTTTGATAATTAATGAAGATTATATTTTTTAAATTAGTTTCAACCACATATCTGCGATTTTTCAAATAATTGGTACACATGTCTATCTCAATGCCAATTTACGATGCTGTGTCGGTACATATGTAGGAAAATATCATATTTTTATGGGGGAATTCATGTTTATGGAGGTGGGGTATTCTATTCTGAAGCGTTTTTATCGTTTCTTGAATGGAGAAGATTTATTTTTTGCAAAATAGATTCATGTGGGGTTATTTTTCATTTTAGTTAACGTTTTATGTAATTTTATTCAATGAAAATTTTTAAAAGTTCAATGAGAGTCACTTAACATGGAATTTCAAGTGATTTAATTTAAACAAATATGAGAAAATTGGAATTGTGAACTTTATTAATTGAAAATGAAATTTTAAGCGACATGAAATTTTAAACGAGTTAATTAAGAGAAAAGAATAATTCTTTAGAAAATTAATGAAGATTATATTTTTAAAATTAGTTTCACCCACATATCTGCGATTTTTCAAATAATTGGTGCACACGTCTATCTCAATGGCAATTTAGTTAACGTTTTACATGATTTTATTCAGCAAAAACTATTAAAAGTTCAATGACGTACGCTCCACATGAAATTTTAAGTGATCTACTTAAAAAAATATTAAATTTATTGAAAAATCGTTAAGAATTTGATTTTTAACATCAGTTTGAACCCCACTCAGTCCATTTAATCACCGACATCTGCCTGTCATCGAAATAAATTCGTGAGATCATCTATCATAAAATATGCATTTATTTCTTGAATAAAAATCTCTTTATTCGTTGACCAATTATTTTAATGAGATATTAATTATTTTCAAAGTGAATGTAATCTGAATTCATTTTATAATGGGGCTTTAGTTGACGGCAGTACCTTCACCTCGGATTTCCATCGATTTAATGAGAAAAAAAATGAATCTATTCATCAATTAATGAAAATTTCGTTATCAAACGTCAGTTAGAACTTGATTTGTTCCATTTCATCATTCAACTTCTGCATGTCATCAAAATAAATTAGTAGACCATTTTATTTCGAAATATTCAGCCATTCCTCTAATACAAATCACTTTATTCATTAGAGAATGAGTTTACATTTGATTTTCACGATTTTTAAATGAAAAAACTAGTCAATTTACTCAGAGACTTGAGAATTTAGTGAATATTTTACATAAATTCTTTAAAATTCCACCCAAAATGAATTAATTTTTGCAAAAACTCGGGTTTCATCATTTCCCGCCAGCCTACAATCAGAACAGAAAAAAAAATTGCGTGGCAAAACCACAGTATAAATTATCTCCCACGATTCATCGCGAATGACAGCATGACACAAAAATGCAAGCGAAGAAAAAAAATGTTAATAAGG